CCCAGCATTTTCCTGCACCTGCTGTATTTTTCTGCTCTGTCCAGTTCCTACTAAAACCCTATGCCTTTGATTTCTATCTTTGCATCTGCTTCTCACAGCATCCAGACTACTGCAGTCTGACCTCAGAACCCGTGTGCTTACAAACATTGACTGAAAATAGATCAAAGACCTAAATGTAAGAGCTAAAACTGCAAAACTCTTGTGTAAAAACAAATCTTCACAACCTTGGATTAGTCAATGATCTTTTATGTGGCCTCCAAAATGCAAGTAACAAAGATAAGTTAGGCTTGATCAAAATGAAAGACTCTGCTTTAAACAACACTTCAAGTGGGACCAGTGGTGTGGCAAAGCACACTAAACCTCTGCCTATGACACCAGTATCCAACATGGGCACTGGTTTGAGGTTCAGCAACTCCACTTCCAATCTAAGTCCCTGCTAAAGGTCTGGGAAGGCAGTGGAGGTTCCTGAATGCCTGCCTTCGGACCAGTTCAGCTCTGGCCATTGTGGCCATCAGGGGGATTTAACCAGTGGATGGAAAGTCACTCTCTGTGCAATTCTGCCTTTCAATAAAAGAAATCTGTTAAAAAAAAAAAGAGACATTTCAAGAAAAGGAAAAGTCAAAACATGGATAAGGAGAAATGAGTTATAAATCATGTATCTAATAAGGGAATTGTATGTAGAATATATGCAGATTTCTTATAACTCAGTTACAAAATAAGCAAAGATTTAAATACACATTTCTCTTAAGAAGATGCACAAATGGCCAATATGCACATGAACAGATGCTCAGTATCATTAGCCATCAGAGAAATGTAAATTAATATCTGCAATCAGATACCATTTCACATACACTCAGATTGCTACACTGAAACTGTTGGACAGTAACGCGTTTTGGAAAGGAGCTGGTGAAACTGGAAATTGTACGCACTGCTGGTGTGAACGTAAAATAGCATGGCCACTTCAGAAGCTGGCTGACAGCTTATTAAAAGATTGGATATAGAGGTACCCCATGACCCAGCAGCTCCACTCCTTGGGTTAGCAACATTGTTGATAATAACCAAGGAGTTAAAGCAACCAGAAAGTCTATCAGTTGCAAGTGGCTGTGACAAGTGCACAGCAATACCATGGATGTAATAGGGAATGATGCACGGACACAGGCTGTGACACAGAGGAACCTTAAAGGCAATCTTCCATGAAAGAAGCTACGCATACATGATGTCTATATATTAGGATCCCGTTTACAGGAGACGTTAGAAAAGGCAAGTTTATGGAGGCAGAAAGTAGTTGAATGATGGCAAAGGCTTAGTGGCATGGCAGAGTTCTTCCCGAGAATTCTGGAGTTTCTGTGGGGGGGAGTCAAAGTTCCTCAGAATGAATTGTGGTGATGTAGCACAGTTGTACTAAGACAACTGAATTGTCCACATGAAATAAATACTGTTTGAATCAAATCTCAAAATATGTAACATTATCAAGCAATAAAACAAGCAGCCCATGCTCTTTGAGTATTCATCATCAATATCTCTCATTTGTCCTTGATCATATATTGTGCCTTATTTCATGCTTACTTTTCCAACCAAAATTCTATTTCTTTTCCCTCAAACAGTAAGAACTCTAAATCGCCAGTCTTCTAGATTTTTTTCTTCATTCTATTATCCAAGTTTCTCTAGTGGGTATAAATGACTCTTATATTTGAAAGAGCTACATTATTCACCAATGAGAATATCATTTCACTTATACAATTATTAGCTCCTGAATGGCAAAGTTTGGGTCCCCTGTGGGTTTGTCAGCTGTTTCCACACAGTAGGTACTCAATGATTTGTAAACATTATTGATAATATCTTTGGGTTTGAATGGTTGTGAGGTCTTTGGTAGCCCTTGTGAAGTTGCTATTGGAAAAAAAAAAAGAGAGAGAGAGAGAGAGAGAGAAAAGTAGATAAGATTTTATGTCATATCCTAACAGGCTTGAAAAAAATGTGAGTTTTTGTTTAATTATTGATATCAACACCAGATATTGTAGAGGTGTGGTAGACCTCATTTTACTGCTCACCTTCAAATGGATTCAGATATGCCAGCTAGCTGTGCCAGCCCCGCCTCCTCCTGGCTAAGCCAAGAAAGTACCTCCTGGGTCTGGCATGGTGGCCTAGTGGCTAAAGTCCTCTTCTTGAACTCACCGGGATTCCACATGGGTGCTGGTTCTAATCCTGGAAGCCCCTCTTCCCATCTAGCTCCCTGCTTCTGACCTGGGAAAGCAGTCGAGGATGGCCCAAAGCCTTGAGACCCTGCACCCATGTGGGAGACCAGAAAGAGGGTCCAGGCTTCTGGCTTTGGATTGGCATAGCTCCAGCCATTGTGGTCACTTGGGGAGTGAATCAGTGGAAGGAAGATTTTTTTTTCTCTGTCTCTCCTCTTCTCTGTATATATCTGACTTTGCAATAAAAATAAATAAATCTTAAAAAAAGAAGGCACCTCCTGTAGGTTTGTTGGAGTTATCTGGCAAACAACTATATGGTCAGGTTTCTTCAGAGACCAAGTCATCTTCTGTCTCTGTTGTTGTGCCCTGCTCACCTTGTCTCTTTTTATATATTACTACCTTTGCTTATTTCTGGGGGGCAGGGTGGTCACCTGGCTGGAACCCAACAGAAGCTACCTGCCAGGCCCAACTTTAATCCTCTCACATCTGCTCTTTACAATGACCCACTGGGATGGTCATTTTGACCTCATCTGAGATGAGGAAACCGATGCATACGTTGTAAGTGGCAGAGTCTGGCCAGGCCAGGTCAGGTCACTTGGTGTATAGTTATAGGTCTGGAGCCAGACTGTCTGGGCTTGCTGACAGCTGTGCAACACCCTCTGACATCCTCACAGGAGTAGCAATGGACCTATCTTACAGAAGCTGGAATGGACTTGGGGTAAGTCAGTTGTTTCCAATGCACTTTTAACAGGGCCTGGCACAGCACAAGCGCCTTGTAAGGCAGCCTGATTGCAAAGTTGGTAATGGTGCAATCTCAGTCCTGCCTTGTGCTCTGTCTCCATGTTGTACTAGCAGAATTGCACCAAAGCAGAACGTGGGCTCCAAGGAAGGGATGGAGACTTAGCTGCTGAGGCACCCGTGGTCTTCTGACATGGCTAGACACTGCTTGTTATCAGCTATTCTAAAGCCATAAACCACTCAGTTCAGGTGAGCCAAACATACACAGCTAATGATACGTGCCCTGGCTGGGCTCACCCTGGCAAGGGCTTCTGGGTGGCCTCCTCGTGGATGCCCATGCAACAAACCCATGGCTGCTCTGTTCCCACTCCACCGCACTTGGGTAAATCTGTACCTTTTGCAGCTCAGTTGGATCAGGTGGACCCTCTGGGGCTTCTTCCACTCCCACCAAACTCATTCATGCTAAAGGACTTGGTCCATTTGGAAATCCTGCCCCTAGCTTACTGCACCTTGTAATGCCATCTCAGAAAACCCTGACTTGAAGCTTGTGCTGAGTGTATGTGGGGGGGTATGTTGGAGTATTGATCGGAGACAAGGCCGCTCTGCTCTCAGCCAGCTCCCTATAGTGCTCCTGAGAACGCAGCAGAAGGCATATGAGCCCTTTCTTGCCTACATGACAGATTTGGCTGGCGTTGCAGCATACTCTTGGTTTTGGCCTGGTCTGCCTCAGTTCTGGCCATTGCGGACATTTTGAGTGAACCAGTGGATAGGAGATCTGTCTCTGTAAGTATCTTTTAAGTCAGTCAACAAATCAATAATTAAGAAAAAAGGAAACTTTTTTTTGGTCAAGAGTTTTTCGTAAAGAATTTATTTATATTTTTATTTGAAAGAAACAGTTCTGAAGAGAAGTAGAGACAGGCCATCCATCTGCTGATCTACTCTTCAGATGGCCTGAAGAGCTAGAGCTATGCCGATCTGAAGCCAGAATGCAAGGGCCAGGAGCTTCTTCTGGGTCCCTCTCATGGTTGCAGGGGCCCAAAGACCTGAACCATCCTCCCCTGCTTTCCCAGGCCATTAGCAGGGAGCTGTATCAGAACTGGGGCAGCTGGGACTAGAACAAGCATTACAGGTGGAGAATATACTTGTTTGGCCACTGCATTGGTCTTTATGCAAAAAGGCCTGCTCAAATGGGATCTAGTAGAAAGAAGGGGGCACTTTCTGAAAACCAGGCTGGGTAGGTGGAGCCAGAGGAGACAGGCAAAGACAGTGGACACCAGGGAGGGCCCCAGAGACAGCTATGGGAGGGGACTCCTGTCTCCTCCAGCTCTCTGACACCTGCCTGGCCTGCCTTCCATCCTTAGCAATGGGACACACCTGTAGGTCTTCCAGGGTTGGGTGGAAAGGCTTCCAAATAAGTCAACATGTTTTTGGATCTTATGAGTTCTTACTCTTGACATCTGTTTTGGGATTTATTCTTGCCGTCTGCCTCACTCAGGTACCGATCTGGGGGGAATGGACTTTGGAATGTTTTCTTCCTTCCTTCCCCTCACCGCCTAACCCCCCCACACCGCCATCTCTGGGTCTCTGCGCTTGCCACACAGTAGGTGTATGCTAAACACCAGCTGAACGAATCCACAGACCAGCATCCTGGGAGCTGGCCTGGAGAGGAAAACGCCCATCGGGAATTTTTCTTTTTCACTTTCATTAGGACCAGGGTGCAGAACACTTCCTGGCGCCAAGTCAGGGGATGCTCCTCTTGGCCCTCTGTGGCTCGGGAGGGACAGCAGGTGCCCGTCCGTCCTCGGGGGTCCTGCTCGTCCCCGGGGTGCGTGCGGTCCTTCCGGCGGCTCACATTGCCAGGTGAGGCCCGACCCAGCCCCTCTGCGGGGTGGCTGGCGGGCTCCCTCTCCCGTACCCAGTGTGAGCTAGCCACAGGAAAACGCACACCCAGAGCGGGGCCCCCCAGCTTATTTTTAGGCGTCAGCCATTCCTGGGCTGGGGAGAAAAAGAGAGCTCCCCGCGCCTCCGCGCTCGCTCCCGCCCGGCACTGGCTGCGCGGCCGAGCCCGGGTGGCGGCGGCGAACACCAGCGGCGGCGGCGGGCAGTGCGCGCGCGGCTCCGCTCGGGGACCTGCGCCGGGCGGGGAAGGCGCGGAGGGCGGGCCGGCCGGGCGGGAAGGGGCGGGGAGCGCGCTCTGGTGGCGGCGGCGGCGGCGGTGGCCGTCGTCCTTATCCCGGCGGCCCAGCGCTCGAGTGGACGCGGGGCTTCGCAAATGGCTTGTCCCGCGCTCGATCTGGAAGCTCTTCAGCCTCTGCAGCCGGAGCCGCCCCCCGAGCCCGCCTTCTCCGAGGCGCAGAAGTGGATCGAGGTAGGTGCCGCCGGAGGCTGCTGAGGCGGCCCTTTCGGGGGCCGGCGTCCGCTCGGAGTCAGTGACCCGCGCGTGCTCACCCGGCTGCAGGTCCGGCCTCGCCTCCCCCGGTTTGCCTCCACCCGCAAGCCCGGGGTCAACGGCCCGGGCTTCGGCCCAGCTGCACTGACCTGGCGCTTGGGCAGTGCAGTCCCCGGGCGAGGGTGGCAGCGAACGGGCGACGCTGCTGCAGTCTTCGCTGTGCGCCTGAGGGGCAGGATCGCGTCCCCGGCGTCTCCATCCTCGCCGGCCTGACAGTCAGCTTGTGTCGCTTCCAGGCGCTGCCGAGCGAAGCTGCTGCCAAGCCGCTGGTAGCGCGAGCCCGCGGCGGAGTCCTTGCGGGCCCGGCATTGCGGGGGTGCTCTCCGCGTCCCTCACGGCACCGCTTGGCTTCCCTCCCCGCCCTTCCCTGCAGGTCGTGTCCTCAACGGAGCCTCTAGCCTTGTTCCCGGTCCCCAGGCCAGGTGTGTGAGGGGCTCGCACGGCGCACCCGGCCTGGGGGAGCCTGCGCGACCCACCTGCGGGCGCGCCAGCCGCATTGACGCCGGCCAGCCATCGGCAGAGCCCCCTCCTTGCCAGAGGTGGCGGGGTGGGCTTCGAGGCACCAGAAGACTCGGGCTGGTTGGCATATTTCACATGTGTAAAAGATGCTGGGACGGGCCAGGGAAATCACCGGGGTGCCCGACTCAGCTAGGGCAGCGCCCGCTAGGCTGTTCTGATTCATGGTGTCTTTCTGGAGAGGCAGCTTGGAAGCCCTGCGCTCAGGGACAGATCACCCCCAGGGGAGCGTGAGGGGGCCGGTGGCCGCCTCCTGGCACTGGTGCCCGGAGCCTTTGTTCAATGCGGGTCTGGTGTGGGGGGGTGGTCTGAACAAAGGTTCAGCGCGGGGCGGGAGGGGGGGGTTCTGTCTTGAGGCGGGATGCAAGGTAAGTTCGGCCGTTAACTCCTGGTGACAGGAAGTGTGCCGCTAAGTCATGAGGGCAATGATGGTGCATCTCACAGCTTGGGCTGTTACTTGGCCCCCATCCCCCTCTTTCTGGGCCCTCAGATCTCAGGATGCTTATTCTGGGTCCGGGTGGGTGCTTTGGGGGGAGCTTCCAGCTCTGAAGAGACAACAGATGTAAACCCGATGAGCTCCCTGTCCAAACCTTTCTTCATGCTGCCTCAGTGCTCCAACCTGGAGCCTGAATACCCCCAAGGGTAACCCGCCCCAGGCCAGCGAGTGCTACTCAAGAGTTCAGTAACAACAGTCTTAAAATAGGGGGTGCAGGAACGGAAGAATCAACTCTAGACTATACAGTGGAGAACTGCAGCCGTGTGGCTGGGGGCAGAGTAAAAAAAAAAAATCGTGGCTTTCGATTTTTTATACGTGGCTTGGAAGGGATGAACTGGGTGACAGGTGCCTCTGCAGTGCAACCCACTTGAGCTGGGATTCACTGGGGCCCTTTCTAACAGGGACTTGGTCGAGAGTTGGCTTAACTTTAGAATTCTCTGGAGAGATTTTGGGCGTGGTAGGAGGTGGGGGGGTGCTACAGCAGAGTTGGTTTCCTGTTCTTGAGGGAGGGAGAGATTTGTTCCCGATTTCCTGGGTTGTGAGTGTGTGATGTATGGTGGTATACATCACATACAGGACAGCGCACATATCGGAAGTGCAGGACTGCGTGGGTTTTGACCTTGGTGGATTCCAGTACAGCTCACATCTAGATGCAGTTAGAAACTGTCCCTGCGGCCCACATTTGCAGCCTGTTTTAAGTGATGACTTATTGCTGACTGACTGCAAATATGAGGTGCGGACTGATAGCCTTACTGTCAGGCTGAAGAACAGGGGGAAGGGGCTTCCAGTTTGGCGGAATCCCTGGGGCTTTACCTCTTCTGCCCAAAGAAAGCATGTTTAAGGTATAACAGGGCGCGCGTGGCTTTGGGGCTGGGCTGCCCCACAGCACAGTGTGTGTGCGCGTGTGCATTATTGAAGCTGCCTCTCTCCTTTCCAATGCGGAGTTGGGTTTCGCTGCAGACAGGAGTCTCTCTCCCCCTCGCAGATGCTGTAGAAAGGTGTATGCTCCAGGGAACAGAGACCTCCATCTTCCTTCCTCTCTTCTCCAGGGTTCCTCCTCCGTGGAACCCTGTGTGTTGACTGCCGTGTGTGCAGACTGGGCGAATCCTGGAGCTCCCTGGGGCCGTAATGGATTGGCTGTGCCCACACTGGCCCGTGAACAAGGATTTCTGCACTCCTGGAGGAGCTGTAAGGGAGTGTAGAGTGTGTGCCAGTCCCCAGAGCGTTATCTGGAGACAGTTGGGTCTCCATTAGGGGCCCATTGTCTCTGCCAGAGGCCTCATTGGGAGCTGCTGCTTCTTCTTCTTCTTTTTTTTCCCCCTTTTGTTCAGCCCAGTGATTAAATTTCCCATTGGCTTTCCTCTCCCCCACCCCCAACCTTTTGAGTAGTCAGGAATTTCACTCTTTCAGAAAACTGTTCCCTTGGGTGCAGCAGGTTAATAAACAAACTTGGCTGCTCACTCAGCTCACTCCTCGATCCTCTGGCTTCCTTGGACTGGGGGTGGGTAAGACACTTATTCTGAATCCAGCCTCCCGGACCTAACTCCTTAGTGAGGAATTTCTCAGCTGCAGCTTTGGCTGTTTGAGGGCGGTGTTGCTGGGCAGGAAGTGTGGCCTGGGAACAAGGCTCCCATGTCACCCCACCCCCTAACTTCTGCCTTAGCTGGCAGGGAGCTCGCTATGGTCATGGACCAGGAGAAGACAGCTCAGAAGTACATGGTCTTGGTCCTTTCCCTACTGCTTCCCAGTAGGCAGTGTGGGTTGTTGTGGGTTCGGAGAGGAAAGGCTAACCTGCCTGTGTTAACTCTGGCCGCCAGCAGGCAGCAGCAGGACTGACTGCTTCCCAGGTTCCTTACTCATCAGGTCTGGGAGCAGCACAGACAGCACAAGCCAAGGAGGTCACACTTCTAGCTGGGGTGACTTGATCAAGCAGCTCTTTTCTCCCCTTCTGGTTCTAAGTGCTTTCTTTCTTTCTTTTTTTTTGAAAGACATCTCTAGTTGTTAACAAGAACAACAGTAACAAACAGATGTTGTTGAAAGCAAATGCTAATAATAACTTACCTGCATCAAGGGAGTGCTGTCAGGTTTAAATAGGTGAATATCTAAAATGCACCCAACAAGGCCCGGTACTTAGGAAGTGCTGGGTAAGGGGTAACTAGTGCATCATCACCATTCACTCCTGCTAATACTCTGCCTTACATACCATCCCTACCATTGTCACTATTACTACTGGTATGGCTATTGTTGGTTCTGCTACTGTACGTAGCAACTAAGGCTGCTTTTTGAAAGAAAATTTTCAGAATCCTTCATTTCCAGTGTAGAAAATGCTACTTACTGATTTTGCCCTATTAAGTTGATTAACTGTGGGTACCTGGTCTGGCAGTAGATGGAACTTGTTACTTTAATTCACTTTAAAGGTGATTTCAGGATCAGAACGAATCTCATAGTATCTACTCTCAAAATGATCCTGGTAATCCACCAAGATGTAGTCATTTATTCCTCAAGATGATGCTGGATTTTTAAGTTTAAGGCATGGCCTTTGCTGCCAAATCCCAAGCAGAACGAATGTCCAGTGCCTCTCTTGCAGACAAGCCAATATTAAATCATGTGAGTGGTGAATATCCAAATATTCATTTCCAGTGCAGTAGGGTTTTTGTTCACTCAGGTTGTGTCAACTTTTGCTGAGAAAAATGAATTATGCAGTTGATTCTTCTTACTCCTATCACTTCTTTTTGTTTTTTTAGTCTGATGAAGTTTATTGCCTTACATGAGGGATTCTAATTTTCCTGGTTGTTCCTTCCTCTTTTCCTGTCCACCCAGCACAATATTTATCTGCTTTAATCTGTAGTTCTGCTATGCCAAATACTTTCTGGAGGAGCAGATGTCCTCTCAACTTGGTTGCAGTTGTGATTTGGAATAGGTTGCCTGGCCTTGGGGAGGGACTGGAAATTCCAACTTAACTCAGTTTTGCTTCTCAATTTGAGAAGTTCCTGGACTCCTTTAACTTTCATCACAGCCTGCCCATGGGGCCTGGTGAGAAAGACAATCTTCTTTTGTGACCTAATCCATTTTCCATGTGAGTGGGAACTGGGGCTGGTGGGGATCGATTTGTCATTTTTCTGCATTCCCACCTGCCCACGTAGAGTTGTTTTTTTGTTTGTCTGGGACCTGAATCTGAAGATGAAAGAAACTGAGGAGACTGTAGATTGCCAAAACTGAAAGATGTTGTATTGTTTGGCGGTGGGGACAATTTATGAATGACCTTTAAGGTGCCCTAGCATTCAGTGGCCAGTAATATATGACATTGGTGATGTCATGCTGGAAGTTATATAAGCATTCTAATTTTCTGTCTCTGTAGGGACTTGGTGACTCTTACGTATTTTCATTCAATAAAGATTTAATGTGGCAATACTCTTCCAGCTCTGGATGGAGAGCTGAGGAAGAGGAAGCGAAACCTTTCTGGCTGGATCAAGAAAAGAGTGGTGGTCTGAATGGATATGTAAATCAGAGTAGGCAGCATCTTTCTCACCATGACATTTAAATAGTCTGGCTTGTTTGTATACAAGGCTGCTATGACACAAAATGCTGTCACTTGGTAGGAGAACAGTGAGGCCCCACAGATTTGGGGAAAAGGGAAGTGAAGTGGGAGGTGGAGCTGGCACTTCTTGCTCCAGCATCTCCCTGGAGACCGATTGCATCAAACAAACTCCTAATGGGCAGGCTGAGCACTGGCTACCAGGGAGGGTTAGGGTGAGGCACATGTTCCCAGGCCCTGGCTTTCTACTGATGGTGGACAATGGAACCATGATGCAGACATCTGGCCTTGATTCTATGGGTGGCAGTCAGTGCTAGGTGGACCTAGGCAGCTCTTGGAGAACTGGAAACTGCTGGAAATTGGCCTGTAAGC